GGGTAGGAACATAGACCGACCGGTAAACCGAGAGCTTTGCCTTCTGGCTCAGCTCTCTCTTCACCACGACAGACCGGTACAGGTCTGTTTTGTTGTATTTTAGAAAAATGTCGGAGTTTAATAATGTGTGAGAAAGCCAGGTTCTTTTTGTTTATTCAGTCATTATTTAACACAGCTGGCAAAACAAATAGTTAAAATATATTGATCTGCTTCATTTTTGTTTTAAGTCTGCGTATTATATAAGATTAACCCTTCATGTTACGGAAAGACCCTCTTGATACAAGAGAAAACTCAGGTTTTTAAGTTAGTCGGTCGATAAGATCAATCAACTTTAGATGGATTCATTAATCGATAACATGCATCCCTAGAATTCCCCGTTTATTTCTGTCAACACAGTGAAGCAGTGATTCTATTTGAGTCTCATTACACACAACAGTGCTTTCTTAAGCTTCTGCTCTCCTTGAAATTTCACCATTTAAAGTTAAATATTTTCTTTGCTTCAAGGATAAACATACATCAAACTGTCAGAGCAGCTTGAAGAAACATAAAACGGAAATAAAATAAGGAAGGACTGTTGTGAAAAAGATTGTGTAAACAGATTTCACAAAAATCGAGGGCAATCTTCCTACAAAAACACAAAACAAACTAAAAAAAGACATCTGAAATCCAGAACCAGAAAAGTGTATTTGCAGAGAACACTCAGTTTTAATAATTAATAATTATTTTACTATGTGACAAACCATAAGGTGTTTGCATTGTTTCATAAAAAAATAAAAATAAAAAACCACCCTGTACACCCCGGCATGTCCAACTCCAGTCCTGGAGTCCCGGTCTCCTGCATGTTTTAGATTTGTCCCTRCTCTAACACATGATTTACCTTCTCAGTATGTCAACAAGCTCTGCAGAGGCCTACTAATTAAGCACTCCTTAGGTTCAGTGGTGGTGAACCAGGACAACACCTAAGACCTGCAGTACACTTCAGTACATTGCTCTCAACTTTTAAAMCAACTTTTATAGTTCGCTCCAACAAATAAAAAGTGCCAACAAAACATTTTACCTGCCTGATAACTGTTCAGATTGATCATGAGCTGTCTGATGGACTATGGCATTACATCTATGCTCTAAATGTCTGCAGGACCAACGCTGTATAAATCTGTCTTTTTGCCACTAGAATGTCCATTTGGTTCTGGTTTGATCTCAGGTTTTAGAAGCTTTGATTCTAAAACAGTGACCTCATGTATCAAAGACTGTGCAGCTTTCATAATGAAAGCTGCAYACAGATAAAATCAAAGTAGTGAGAATGTCAGTAGTAATCCAGCTTTATCAAACTGTGCACACGTTTCTGCACTCCTTTCCTTTAGATCTCAGTTTTTGAGTGCATCTCAGACACCTCCCCTGACACGCCTCTAAATATGCAAATAAATACACGAGCAAAAATGATGTCTGGGTGCCGATAACGTAATGTTATGCATATAACTACTG